TGATGTTTATGGAGTTTATGATGGGTGGGATCAACTGGATGAATTAAAAAAATTTAAAATAATTATTTATTGCGATTTTAATATTTTTAAGCACTTCCTAGTTTAAGAATATTTTTTTTAAATTTAAAATAATTTTAAAATTTAAAAAGATTATTTTAAATTTTTTCAAACCTTGCTTTTTATTTAGACTTGAAATTTAAGCACGTGTAGATACATTTTATTGTATAAAGGTTTTTTAAACTTCGTAAAATTATTTTTAAAATTTTTGAATATTTTTTGATTTATTAATTTATTTTTTTAAAAAAGAAAAATTGTTTAATTTTTTATAAAATTTAATGCAATTTCTCACAAAAAACCAATTATTTTAAGTTATTGTTTTAATTTTTTTAAATTTCCTTTTTTGATTTAAAGAAATTTTAATTTTTTCATCATAAAATCTTATTAAAGAGAGATTGATTTAATTTACTTTTTTCAAATCTTTAGAATTTTATAAGTATAATAAAAAGAAAATAAAAAAAATTCAAAGCAAAAATCCAAATACTTCCCCCACAGAGTTATCTTATCATCCACAAAAATACACGAATATAAAATTATGAGAACTGTCTCAACAAAAAGACTGTCACTCTTACCTTATTCACATGAATTTTAATTAACAATATTTTCATCATTGTTCGTGACTTAAATAATTAAATTATTATTTTAAGGAGAAAACTATTAGAAATTTATTGAGAAATCTGTTCCGAAAGCTCATGGCTGCATCTTTGTCTAAAACGACCTCAATAACTTTTATGTCGTCCCCCGCAATTCATTTTAATACATGTGATTTTCATATGCTTTCATGGCTCGTGTGCAAAATACACAAATGACACAATAACTTTTTTAGTCAGCAATCGTCAACTCTTTTGCTGTATGACAAAAATACAAGGTCATAATTAAATTTCAAAGAACTTCTGGTTGATAATTGTCTGTTTTTAGCATGAGGGGAAATTGTGTTTATGTAATCACTATGGGTTGTTGACTGGCTGAATAAAATGATTGTTGACTCATGCGACTTTTTTGTTGTATTTTGCAATTTTTTTTGTGTTTAAACAGATGGTCGATCAATGACTTATATTGAATGATGAATGAATTGTTGGTTGAGATTTTAAAGCTTTAGTTGTGAGAAGATATTATTTTTAGGGTTGTGAATGGAGTGGAATGTGTCTGGAGTTAAGGTAAGACTGGAATTTACAGGAACTGATTGTTTAAGACGATTTTGATATTATGGGTTAGATAAGGTGCGCGCAGTTCGTTTAGACGCACTTAATTTTTTTCAAATTTTCCTTTAATAAACACTATTAAGACAAAAACTATTTTATGTGTTTATAGCTATGACCAATTAGGTTATAAATATAATAAAAGTACCTGACTAAATGCTTTGCTTAAGTAATTAAAATAATTTTTTCAAAAATTACAACAACAAAGTGCGCAGTTCGTTTAGACGCACTTTGAAAAATCTAAAATTTTGTCTTATTTACGTTTCGTAGAAAACTTAATCGTTTCTAATATTAATCTATCAACAAAAACGAGTAATTACTGAGGGTTTTAGAATTTTCCATCAAGTTTTTCCAGAGATTTTCCTTCATTAAAGTTTTCATGTTGCAAAAATTTTGATAAATTATTTATCCAATAATTTTGCGTTAAATTATTATTCTTTTAACTGATTTCCATAGATAATTGTCCATAATATTAGAAAATTAACAGATATTTAAGCTTTCTTATAAGTATAAGGCGAAAATATGTGAAAAATATAATTATGGTGAAAAATTTCCACCACTCTCATAGATTAATCAACAAGTTTTGACAAAACTGTAGATACCATAATAAATTTGAATAGACCAGCTTATTTATCGTATTAAACTTAGTTAAAAACAGAAAACTGCACAGCTCTATGGCTAATGGAACTTGAAAATTTTACTGAAAAATTAAGTTGTGGTGAAAAAATTCACCATAGAAAAATAAAATTTTAAAAAACGTTGTTTTAGGCAATTGTTTCATTTAAATTAGGTTGTAAAAGTGTTTCTGTCTCAAAATTAATCAATTTAAAACATGAATTAAAACCTTAGACATAGTTTTTTTAAAATTTTATTTTTCTATGGTGAATTTTTTCACCACAACTTAATTTTTCAGTAAAATTTTCAAGTTCCATTAGCCATAGAGCTGTGCAGTTTTCTGTTTTTAACTAAGTTTAATACGATAAATAAGCTGGTCTATTCAAATTTATTATGGTATCTACAGTTTTGTCAAAATTTGTTGATTAATCTATGAGAGTGGTGGAAATTTTTCACCATAATTATATTTTTCACATATTTTCGCCTTATACTTAGAAGAAAGCTTAAATATCTGTTAATTTTCTAATATTATGGACAATTATCTATGGAAATCAGTTAAAAGAATAATAATTTAACGCAAAATTATTGGATAAATAATTTATCAAAATTTTTGCAACATGAAAACTTTAATGAAGGAAAATCTCTGGAAAAACTTGATGGAAAATTCTAAAACCCTCAGTAATTACTCGTTTTTGTTGATAGATTAATATTAGAAACGATTAAGTTTTCTACGAAACGTAAATAAGACAAAATTTTAGATTTTTCAAAGTGCGTCTAAACGAACTGCGCACTTTGTTGTTGTAATTTTTGAAAAAATTATTTTAATTACTTAAGCAAAGCATTTAGTCAGGTACTTTTATTATATTTATAACCTAATTGGTCATAGCTATAAACACATAAAATAGTTTTTGTCTTAATAGTGTTTATTAAAGGAAAATTTGAAAAAAATTAAGTGCGTCTAAACGAACTGCGCGCACCTTATCTTCAGTGATGCTTTAATGCGATGGTCGAAATCTGCACTGATTGATATCAAACGATGTGACCGACTCCAAAATTCATAACTTGTAGCAAGAAAGCTGTAAGAAGGGGGGGAGGGGGAGGATGTCTCTTTAGATATTTTAATTTTTTTTATTATAACTCTTCTTTTCTTAAGTATCTGACTCAATATGCTCTACAAACCTCATCACATCCCTGACTTAATGCCTTACAAACTTTATACCGCGATAACCCCCTATACATTGTTTGAATATGCTTATTCTACGTCTCATTAACTCATGAATTAAATATTAAATGTTTTTTCTACTGATCAATAATAATCACAAAGAAATGAATTGCGACAATGTAGTATGCAGTGTATATGGAGGTGACGGTAAACGATTTAGTTTTTATTTTTTGCATAAAACACTTCCTGCTTTTTAATTAAGAATTTTTTTTTTATAAATAAAATTGTCACAATTGGCAAAACTCTCAAGTTGGTGAACGTGCTTAGAAAGTCTAAATATGCTGATATAACTATAATGAGCCCATATTTGAATAAATGCTAAAAAACTAAGATAGCACGTAAATGAGTTTGCATGAATTCTCTTCCTCAATGTGATACAAAAAAAAATGCCAGTAGGAAAAAAAGTTAATTGACCTGCAACACTTGACAAGTTTCCTCGTTGTTGACGAAAATAAGATTCATTTTTACATCAGAACAGTTTGTTGCTTTCTTATTCAAACCGTGATGGGTGATGTATAAATTTTTGGGGTGAATTTGAAACACGAAGCTTTCAAGCTATTTTGCAAATGACTTAGAACAAAAAGTTTGTTTTGAGCTTCTCTGAATAATCACGGTCAGAATACATAAACAACAATTTATTGTCCAAGCCGATAGTTGAGAATTGCATGTGCAAAAAATTTCCACGTTGCATGTTTTCATGCTGCACAGCAATAGTCATCAACTTTGAGTCATTTTTCCCATCACTTTTGATGAAAGTTTCATGATGCACGAGGATGTATTCTGACACACAGAAAAAAGATCGTAAACTGTTAAGCACATGTGTGTCTAATTAAAAGTTATCGACTGTATGTGATTTATTATTATTTTTTTATTGTGCTTTTTTTTCGAATGCTTTTAAAGTAACTGTAACGGCTGTACTAAAATTTGAATTATTATTTACTTGTATTGGTGAGTGTTTGTATGTTTTTGTGAGCAGTACAGTGCTTGTTGTTGTATACATTTCATGTGCATTCACATTATGAATCATATCCTTTGCAAAATAACGTGCAACGAATGCCGGCAGAATATTATATCGCAAACATCGTGTTGCATGAATTTTTAATTTTCTATAGTCATGCGATAGTTCCGATTTTCTAGCTGCGAAATTTTAATTTTAAATTGTGAAATTTTTGTAACATCGTTTTGTAATCCCACGTGGTTTACACGTTTTGTAACAAAGGAACCACTCAAAATCTTAAAGATTAGTATGACAGCTGAAAGAGTCCACATGTGATCATACAATACTCCAAAAAATTTACGTGCTATGAGTTTATTTCCCTCTCGTCAACACAACTGCATCACCAATACCACCAACATTTAGTACATTTTCGATGCTACAGTACTAAAAAAGTCTACTCGCGAGTTTTGTGATTTTCTTAATTCTCATCGTGAATTCAAGCGATCAAGACGTGCATACCGCGCTCACTCGGTGAATTTTTTTTTTCTCATAAAATTTTTATCCTACAAAAAAAATAAAAGGTGAAGAAGAAAAGTCAGAAAAAGAGAAGAAAATTAAGATAGAAAAAAAAGAGTTTCATAATAATTCTAGAATATGAAAATAAATTGTAAAATAGATGATTACAGAAAGTGTTTTGATTATCGAGTGATGGATGGAAATTTGAATTGAAAATTTGTCTAAATGAAAAATTGCATAAAAAAAAGAGTTTTTTTGTGCGACTGAGAAGAGAAAATAAATTCAAGTGAAGTTTATTTATTGATATGATAAATAGAGTAAATAACTAAGCAACATCGCGGGAATATAATAAATTGAACCTAATATTATCAAAAGAATGAAAGTGCATTGAATTTTTTGAGAGAAATTTTTAATTTGAAAAAAAAGATATAAAAGAGAAAAAATACACTCAACCATGTTGGATACAATAATAATTGGATTAATAATTTTATCAGCATTAGTCTACGGATTTTGGCAGTATTTTGCCGAGCCTGATGATGCTCATAGAAAAAAGAAAAGTAAGTTTTTTTTGGATTCTTTTTATTAATACCATGCTTAGCATCACCACGTGTTTCCATATAAAGGAATTTAAGCGGCAAAAATAACGTATCTTGTGAATGAATCATTCCTTTTTGGTTATATTATGTTTCTGTTCTTTCATCAACTCCAACACAGTCTTATAATTCTTTTCATTCAATGTGTTAATGCCCGGGTCTGCAGCCTTACATGATTATCACTTTATTTCGTTTTGTGGAACACAGGAAGAATGTGAAAACGATGATGAATCAATTCAGTTCCATTTAACTGTTGTGCTGATTTCTTCGTAGTTATGATGCAATTTTCTGCTTACTCTTGAGTTTATTAATAATATGCTCAGTCATTAGATGATCGAAGTTTAAGTTTCAGTGGTTTTTTCTTTCATACCTGGAAAATTGTGTGTTGAGCTTGCAAAGATTTTTATGTTGAGTAGGTTAGGGATGGACAAGCAAGATGAACAAGATTTATACCTGAAATATTGTTTTTAGACGGATTTTATTGCAGGAACAAGGAGTGAAACACAAAAATTTGCATTTTGGTTTAAAAACAACAGAATCAATTTTAGTACATGAAATTAGAAAAATAGATAAAAATTTAAATTTTCAACTAATAACAAAAACAATTTTTCAAATTTTCAAGAAAGTAAAAAATATTTTTACAAAAATTAAAACAACTTCCAAAATATTTAAGATAATTTTACAAAATTTACAATTGAGAATTTTAAAGGAATTAAAATTTGAAAATTTTAGGAAAATAAGTTTCAATAAAAAGCCCATTAAAAGTTTAAATTAAACTTAAAAGTTCAACAAATTCTAATTGCTTGCAAAATAAAATTTAAAAAGATTTCAAAATTGACTGTCACCCTTAAAGACTTCCTGGAACTGCAGTAAACTGTTAATTTTTTTCCAACAATCAGGAAGTAATCCATTGACAGTAATTAAACCACTTCGAATATTTTTTTTTGTCGGAAGAAATTTCGTCAAATAAGATCAAAGATAAATTTGAATCATTTAAATAATTATACCGGCAAAATTGCTGTAAAACAAGTCTACAAAAAAAAAAATAATTTTTTGTTGAAATTTTATTTGAAACTTACGACTCTGAAAAAGCATTAAATTTAAAGAAAACAAAAACATTAAAAAAATTTTAAACATTTTTATCAAACAAACATTTACAACGTTAATTTTACGAGGATCAGCTACTATGAATGAACACGAGAAAACTGTAAACTGAGACCAAATAGTAAACACGGCACTACAAAAAATCAATAAAGAAGTCACAAAAAAATTTAAACAATCAAATGAAAACTCAAATTTCATAAATTTAACCACAATTTTTATTAATATCAAACGGAAATTGTATCTTGATGATACCTGAACAATTTCGAGATCGATTAAGTTGTAGGTAAAATGAGGATTTAAATTGAGTCATGTTAAAAAATGTGGTGAGTCAGAAAAGAATTTCGCGTGGTATTCTTGGTACTTAAATATTCATAAATTTTTTAAGACTTCACGATTTCGTCTTTAAGATCAACTTAAGTATGGATTTTAAAATTTTTATTTCCTTGAAATTTCAGTTTTAAAAAATATTTTGGCTTTTAAATCGTGAAAATTTATTGACTGTTAAATATTCCGCATTCATCTAGCATTTCAATTTTTTGAATCATCTAGCATACCCTAAAACTCAAATATGGCTCAAAAACTAAGCAGCTGCACAATTTTCCTACCACTATAAAAAATTCGATTCAAATTTTCATCAACAATAAAATCCCATTCAAAGCTGATTTATTTTTAAAAAAATATTCAATTTAAATCTTTAATTTCCATACAAAGCAATGCGATTGAATCGTTCCCGACTGACTGGCTGGCTGAATATAGCTTACAATAAATGACTCACATCTAATCTTTTCGAATTTAATACCCTCAAAAGTGCTTATTGTTGCAAATAATAAATTATCGTACGAAAGTCATGTCCTATTTCTTAAATTACACCTTACCTACCAATTTTTATGGACAAGCAATAAAAAAATTTCTTTCAATTTAAAGCAATAAAAAATGGCAAGAAAAAAAAGCTTAAATCGATGACATGACGATGATGTTAACTACAAGAATCAAGAGTATTGATGATGCGCATTATAGACGTGAAATAAAAATTATGTGTGCCGGAGTTCTGTTATATAAAAATCTTTCTCTTCTCGTTTCGCTTCACGGCCATTCTTTCGCCATAGTCACAATGAATGGCATCATCTTTAAAGAATTTAAAATATCTGAGCTGTATGGCTTAGGTACGATTGCATTAATGAATATGAAATTGAAAAGGAAAAGCCAGCCAGATGCAGATGAATAAAGAACTGGTTTAATATTTTGCAATTCTCTTCACTCTTTCATTCCACATTTCTCATGTACCGTACAAAAGAATGCAGAAATAATAAAGTTTTGCTTTTCTTGATCGCATTTGATATGATGGTGGGTCTTGTGTTTACTGTTGTTTCTTTACTTCTTCTTGTGCCTGAACACGGCAAAAGTGGGAAACAAAATTCTTTTTACTTTATATTTTAACATAAAAAACAGTTGCTGGACGTTTGGAATTTCAATTTATTTTATTTTGAAAGCTTTCAACACGATGAGTGTAAAATTTATAAATTCTTTAGTGAAATTTTTTCCTTATTGACTTGAATTTTTCGCTTATAAACACCAGCTGTAAATTCATGTAGTCTTGATCACGATCAATTTTTTTTTTCATTCAATGCTCACGATAAAATGAAAAATTAAATTATTATATTTCTGACTCAATCGTTGTGTCTATTTTTTGCCTTTTGAATTTATTATTAATTTGCGAATAATTTGTCATGCAATCGAATTACAAAGTAAGATTATTTTGTAAAGGGAAGGATGACTAAGGGGCTGTTCACTTATTACGTAACGCGAAAAAATGACTTTTTAGGCCCCCCCCCCTCGTAACAAAATTTGTATGAAAAAAAAATTTCCTTGTTTGAACCGTAACAAAATCTTAGACCCCCCTCCCCCCCTAAAAGCGTTCCGTAATAAGTGAATGGCCCCTAATGTGTTTTTTGCTTTTTTTAAAATATTCAATTGTATTTTTTTCAACTTAACGGTTTTTTAAAATTTAAACTAAATCTTATATTTTTCCCTCACTTCGAAAAGTTCTTTTTTATTAATTCTATGAATAAACCATTAAAAATCCTCAAAAACACACGACTGTATGCAAAAAAGTGGCAAACACTATCTCCAGTATTCACTTTCTGCTTATTATTAATGAAATTGTTTAAAATTCTCAATAAACATCTCAAGTGCTCTTATACAAATAATTTGCGAGTATTTACGTTACAAAAAAAAAACAGACACTCAAATTTCTCTTAAATATGTCATTAACTCGACCACCCAAACTGGATAAACAATCGCATATTTTACACAACGAATTGCAGCAACGTTACACAAAAGACAGACAATTTCATATTGAATGATAACAATAAGTGCTCCAAAATCACTCAATCCTCATAAATATTGAGACGAAACATGAAATATAACTTACAAAAATTAGCAGCACAATGAAAATTGACTTGTGAGTTATGTAATTAATCTCAAACCATGTGATTGCGATATCACAACAACAAAGATAATAATAAATAAATATACACATAAATTTATTTTTTCGTTCGTTTATCGTCGAGTCTACATCATTGTCAGTTTTTGAATCGTTACGATGATGACGAATATTTAATGCTTGTCAAAAAAAAAACTTTTTCGTGTATTAAATTCAAACTTATTAAAGTAAATAACAAAAAAAAAAGACTATAGAATTCACCTTGAGCGGCTTTTTTTCAGTTGTGTGTAGACTTGAGCAGCAACAATAGAGTACATACAGTATCCAATGTATGAGAAGCGTTGAGTACAGTGGATGGTTGTTTTCCGTATCATGATGAACGACCAACGCAATGCTATGCTTTCACATCTTTTAGCTATGTTTTGAATTTTAGACTTGGGAGATTTCGAGTTGTGAATTTGAGTTTGATGGATGGAATTAGACACTGTAGAACTTTGGATTGGGGAGGGTTAAGTAGTGTACAGTTGACTTGAGTTTTATGGACATATTGTTAAACTTCACCTATGGATAAATTTCCATAATACCCCCAGATACCCCTTCTAAGCCTCTCAAACTTAACAATAATTTTTATCATATTCTCTAGTGTTGAAACAATATTAAATAATCTGTTGTGATTCATTGCTCTGATGGTAAACAAAATACGCTGCAGATGAGTTTTGTGAAATAAAATTTATGTTGCAATTTTTTTTCACTCTGTTGTTCAACAAAAGAATTGTTAAGCAGCTTTTCATTCAAACGCGAAACATTTGTTTTCCTTTATTTTCTTCTTTTTTTCATTTTTCTGTCTTTTCATTCATACAATGGGATGAGACAATTTTCTCTATCATAATCATACAATGAGATTCACTTATAAACAATGCATTTCTATGTGGATCATCATCACAAGACAATGAAAATTGAGACAACAAAAATTCATCACATTTCAAAGAACGAGAGTGAAATGTCAAATTAAATTTTTGAAATAGCATTACAGACGTTTGAGAATGATATTTTAATAGGGCGTATAGAATGAAAACAAATTGAAAATTTGTTATTTTAATGTTTGAATGATTTTTGCTTCATGTTGTTTTTTTTTCTTCAAAATATCTGTGGGTGAGCGAGCAGGCTTGAATTTCAATGAAGAACTTTATGAATTGATTGAGTTTTCGCATAATCATAAATATATTAATATAAAATTTAAGATTTCCTGAACGCACTAAAGATGCGAAACATTTCTGAACGCACAAAAGATGCGAAACATTTCTGAACAACCTCGAGATATGAAACTTTTCTGAACGCCCTCGAAATGCAAAATTTCACTAAACACACTCAAATCAACTTTTTGCCTTCTGCTTTAATCAATTTACATCATATCCAA